CTTTTAGCTCCACAGCCTGGCAGAGGGTAATACTGAAATTCCTGAGAGCTCACAGTGCACACTTGCACAGCAATGAAAACAAAGCCGAGCCTTTTCCATCACTAGGAAGGTGCAGGCAAGTAAAAAATTTACAGCCCCCAAAGCATTTTTTTTTTTTTCAGGGCTAGAGAAATGAACTCCTTAGTCCAAAGATGTGCAAGGGACTGTGCAAGGACACTCTTACCTATGACTGCAGGTTCCAGGTCCACAAACACGGCCCGAGGGACGTGCTTGCCCGCCCCGGTCTCGCTGAAGAAGGTGTTGAAGGAGTCGTCCCCTCCTCCGATGGTCTTGTCGCTGGGCATGGTGCCATCGGGCTGGATGCCGTGCTCCAGGCAGTACAGCTCCCAGCAGGCATTCCCGATCTGCACGCCCGCCTGGCCCACGTGGATGGAGATGCACTCGCGCTGCGGGACGGAAAGGGATCGCTCAGCACCAACAGCACCGCCCTTGTTTAGCAAACCTCCTGCACACCCACCCCCCGAACTCCCAGCCTGCAAAGCCATTGAAACGTTGGCCTTATTGTCTGGGTGTTGGGGGGTATTTGGCACAAAGCAACAGAACACAAAAGCCCCAATCATCAACGGCTCCACCCAAACAGACCCTCTCGGACACGATCGTTTTTACAAGCTCCTTCCTCCTTGTTGTTCTTCAATTAGACAGGAAGAGTCTGATCAACTCTTCCAAATCCTTCAGCCAACTCCTCTCTTCATACCAAGCACCGAATATTTAGAAAGGCTGGTGACTGCACCTGTCATTGGCCTCAGTGTCCAGAACAGCATCACCCAGACTCCAGCCCACCCACCAGAGGCACCAAAACCCTCCCCAAGATCCAGGGTCACTTCATTTAATGTACATAAAATCAGAACAAGATTCTCCTGATCCCTTCAGGAAACTTTTGACACCCTGCAAGGAAGTCTTTGCCTGACAAACCCCTTTGTATCCCTCCACTAATACAGACCATCAGGCCTCGCACCACACTGCTGCACACAAAGTGCTCAGTTCCTTGATCATGGTCTGTACCTTCCTCATCAGAGGAAGCAGAGGGTTCTCTGGTGACCAGGGACAGGACCCGAGGGAAGGGCATGAAGCTGTGTCAGGAGAGGGTCAGGTTGGATCTCAGGAAAAGATTCCTCCCCTAAAAAGTGGCTGAGCACTGAACAGGCTCCCCAGGGCAGTGGGCACAGCCCCAAGGCTGCCAGAGCTGCAGGAGGGTTTGAACAACGCTCTCAAGGACAGGGTGGAATTTGTGGGGTGCCCTGTGCAGGGCCAGGGTTTGGACTCAGTGGCCCCTGTGGGTCTCTTCCAACTCAGAGGATTCCATGATCACCAGGCCCAAGCCAGGTAAATGCACATCAGACTGCACATGAGCTTTTCCAGCGTCTCAGGAATTAAGGCCACACAAAGCAACAGCAGTGACTCGTGTTCCGAAGAAAATGTATGTCTGAGAGTCCAACTTGGCAACACAGGCACAGCCCAGGTGCTACAGACGGCACATTAACCTTTGGCATGTTTATTCTGACAAAGTGCAAAGTTCAGCACATGGGGCAGTGACTCCCTGCACCAGTACAAACAGCACTAACTGGGAATCAGCCCTGGCCTGCTGCTCTTCATCCTGCTTCAAGAGTTCCTTCACCTGCTTCCCTGCAACCCTACCAAGGAATTCGAAGTAGTACATAGCTATTTACCAAGGAATTCTAAGTAGTACATAGCCATTTAATTAAACACAAATCTTTGTCAGACACTAAAATACTCTCTTGCCCATTTTGCTCTGTGTGGTCTTTTCACAGCATCAAGAATACAAAAAAACCAGACCAAAATCCGAGCTTTGAAAGTATCATCTCCAAGCTGCAATGACAGGCAGGAGAGCTGTCACACTCATTACAGCTCAGGGCCTTCACACATCACTGAGGGGAGATTTGTAATTATTAGAGTTTAAATGTGTACTACAGACAGTGCTGCATTCAAGCCATAACACAGAATGCCTTCTTTTTAGTGAAGTAATGCTCTCCCCCACTTACATACATTATTTGCAAGCACAGAAACAGTTTCAGTGAAAATTCAGGAAGAATTTCTCCATCCCAGTCTCTGCCTCCTTTCCCTATGGGATGTGGCTCCAGCTGAAGGGGACTGGCCTGTCCTCTGTCCCTGCCCTTCCAGCAGCTGCGGACTCAGCCCCTGCACTCATGGCTGGGTTAAAGCCTCCAGCTCCCTCCATCAAACCACTGGGTCAGGCTGTGGGTCCCCTGCACTCCCCAGCACAGTATTTAAGGTCCAGCTCCACCTGTGTGAGGTCGATGGAAAGGCAGATTTCCCGAGAAAGGCTGTGCCAGCTCCGACCAAGCTCAACAGCACATCATACAGAGCAACGTGGTTCCCCTGGGAGGACTCCAGGGAACCTGTATCCTTGGCAGAGACAGGGGCTGTATTCACACTCCTGATCTGACTTTATTTAAAAAGCGTGACCAGAAACAGCTCCCCAGGGAAGTGCAAGGACAAGGGCATTAACACACCCCATCAGTACTCTAACTTGTAACCATCTGCAGTTCAATACATATTTCCCACGCATTCACAAGCCTACAGGAGCGGTCTGGCTACATTCTGTTAAGCTCATGTAACCTTCTGACAGCCTCTTTCCCCCAAGAGATGCAGGAGGCCAACACCCCCATCCCCGGCTCCAGCTCAGCACCTGAACCCTGTCCTGTGGGACGTCTGGTCACACCTTCCCGCTCCCCCTTCAAGGTGACTCACAGCCTGCCGGGTCGTTCACCCAGGAACCCTCCACATCAGCTCCTTCCCGGCGCTCCCCACGCCTCACACCGCGGCGGGCGCGGGCAGCGAGCGGCACCCGGGGAACACCCGCGGGAGGGAACGGAAGGAGCTTCCCTGCTCCCCCTCCGCGGGTCCCGCACGGAGCTCCCCCGCGGTCACACCCAGCGGGCTCCCCACAGGGGACGGCGGTGCCCGGGGCGGAGGGTCCCGCGGGCCGCCATGTTCTCGGCGGGGTCGCCACCATTTTGGGAGGAGACGGCGGGAGCGACGCGGGAACGACATTCCGGGGCGAGACACGGCCCGCCGGGGGCAACCCCGCCCGCCCCTTTCGCCCCGCCGCCAGGGCGGGCCCGCGTGTCCCGCCCCTCTCCCCCTCTTTCCCGCAGCGCACAGGACCCCCCTGCGCCCCCCACCCCGCGCTCACCATGGCTCGGGAGCGCCGGGACAGACGCGCAACGTGTCTGAGCAGCACCGAAAGCGGGAGTCCTGCCCGGGCTCACCCTTATAAAGGGCGGGGGCGGGGCCATGGGCTGCCCGCGCGCCGCTCATTAGCGCGGCGTGGGCTCGGCTGGGCGCCATTGGGTGGCAAGGGTGTCTGTCACCTTTCTGCCACAGCTATTGGTGGATTCGTAACCGGGGGCGGGGAGGGGGCGGGGTTTGGTCTTCCCGCCAACCGAGGCCGGAGCCGCCCTCCTGAGGCTCGCGCGCGGATCCAGGATGGGATCGCTGTGCCCGGGCTGGAATGGCTGTCCCTGAGCTGGGATCGCTGTCCCTGAGCTGGGATCGCTGTCCCTGAGCTGGGATCACTGTCCTGAGCTGGGATCACTGTCCCCGAGCTGGGATCGCTGTCCCCGAGCTGGGATCGCTGTGCCCGGGCTGGGATCGCTGTGTCCGGGCTGGGATGGCTGTCCTGAGCTGGAATGGCTGTGCCCGAGCTGGAATGGCTGTGCCCGAGCCGGAATGGCTGTCCCCGAGCTGGGATCGCTGTCCCCGAGCTGGGATCGCTGTCCCCGAGCTGGGATCGCTGTCCCCGAGCTGGAATGGCTATCCCCGGGCTGGGATCGCCGTCCTGAGCTGGGATCGCTGTCCCCGAGCTGGAATGGCTGTCCCTGAGCTGGGATCGCTGTCCCCGAGCTGGAATGGCTGTCCCCGGGCTGGGATCGCCGTCCTGAGCTGGGATCGCTGTCCCCGAGCTGGAATGGCTGTCCCCGCGCTGGGATCGCTGTCCTGGGCTGGGATCGCTGTCCCCGAGCTGGGATCGCTGTGCCCAAGCTGGGATCGCTGTGCCCAAGCTGGGATCGCTGTGCCCGGGCTGGGATCGCTGTCCCCGGGCTGGGATCGCTGTCCCCGGGCTGGGATCGCTGTCCTGAGCTGGGATCGCCGTCCCTGGGCCCAGAAGCTGCCTGGAGACACCCTGAGAGCCCCAGCCCTGCCGGGTGGGCACCCAGGGGCCCCCAGTCCTGCAGTGCTGTCTCTGTGAGTGAGATGTGGGCAAACCCCTCTACAAGGAGCCTGGAGGCAGCTCCACAACAGTGCCTGTGGCAAGTGCCACTGGGATAAAGAGTCACACAATGGAAGAGACTCAAAGCCAAAGGGCCAGATCTGGAGAGCCATGTAGATCCTACTGAAATCACCTTTGGTGTTTAAATGCCCCTCTTCCTGTGTGGATCCCTCCACTCCTGAGAGCAGCCTGGACAAAGGTGATACTTCTGATATGAGTGTGATGAAATCATGTCAGGCCAGGTCTGTACTTGGCTGGAACCAGTGGTGGGAAGGGATGAACCCCATCTCTCCAGCTGATCCCGAGGGCAGGGAACTGATGCCTGCTGAGGATGCTGCTACTGCTGTTATCAACCCCATTGTGATCGTTTCAGCCCAGGGTGTGGAGTGAAACCTGCGTGGGTGCACCCTGAAAGAAAAGAAGGGCAAAAACACTCCAGAAAGGAAGGATCAGAGGATCAAGAGAGAAGGACAGAGGTGGAGGAAGGCGAAAAAACCTAAATAGTATTGATACAATTGTTCAACCTTCAGAAAATGCTGGATGTGCTATCTGTGATACAGCCTCTGTGGCTGCACTGTGGGTCTGGGGCTTCTCCAGGAATTTGGATGAAACTTCCTTGAATCTGCAGCTCTGCAGCTCCTTGCTCCTCAGTGACAGGTTTTATTCTGTGGCTCTGAATGACTCTGTCTGTCTGTAATATAATTGATTTTATTAATTACTTTAGATGCAGGATCTGGAGCTGCTCCTGGGCATCAGCTGGGAGCTGGTGAAGGGACGGAGTGTGCTCTCAACAGCTGACAGCAGGAAGGAGCAGCCAGTTCCTTAACATGGATTTCACTTTCTCATACAGTGAATTGCTCAACCCAGGTGAGCAGAGACAGATCTGTCAGTCCTCTCACCTCTGACATGCCAGCTGCAGCCTTTATGGCCACCTGCTCATGACTCCCTGGGTCGTTTGCCCTCTAAAATCTTCATTAGCTGCAAACACCAGTGTTACACCAGGTACTCCATCCTTTGCTTCCATTCTTTCTTCATGCTTTCCCCAAAACGAGGTTTCCTCCTGGTCAGGTCAGATGAAACAGCACCAGGAACACCCATGGCTGGGATCAGGACCAGGGCTGAGTGTCAGAGGGAGAGATGGTGTGACACAGTTAATTATTCACAAACATGGCCACTTCTCTCCCTTCCTGGTGCAGGGGATGGGATTGATTTGGCAGCTCAGGGCTCTCCTGAGGCCGAGGTGGGGAAGGTGCCTCCCACAGAGGGATTTATTCCCTGACCTCTGCACAACCTGGGGCTGGGGCAAACGAGGGCCCAGGGACACCTGTCACAGGAACTGGGCTGAATGTTGTGCTGCTGCAGGTCCCCCTTTGCACTGGTGATGTCTCCTGGCTGTTTTGGTGCTGTGGGGGAGGGTGAGAGGTTGGTCTGTGTTTTAATCCTGGCGTGACTGTACACATGAGAAATGGATCATCAGGTATGGTGTAACCCTTCTCCTCGAGCCAGCAGGTCTGACACCCAGCCTAGAGCTGCTGGACTTTTACAGGGCCTCCTACTGCACAGCCCTGACCTTTGGCTGGTGCAAAATGCACTGTCAGCTCTGCAGAGGCTGGGGAGGGACAAGGTTCCTGGCATCAGGTACAGCAGCACCTTCATTAGTCTTTTGAAGAGGTGGGTGGGGAAGAGAAACAGAGGGTTGTTCTTTTTTTTTCCCCCCTCTGTAGCCTGGCAAGGGAACAGCAGGTAAGGAAAACTGTTCTACACAGTAGAGCTAGCAAGAATGAGGAAAACCAGTACTTTCCTGTGCTGTGTGCTGAGATTTTTGTTGGTTTAGGCCTGACTGTGGCCGTGGTCTGCCCAGACAGGCTCATCTGGCCATTCAGGTCTGGCTGTCATGGGCTGTGCTGTCACTACTCCACAGCTGCAGGAGCAGCCAGCACCGTGTCCTTTCCTGCCTGAATGTATTGATGTGAACTAAACATATCATGGGAACAGCAGAAGACACCCAGAGTGGAACTGGGTTCACTAGACTGGGTTGAAATAAAAAACCACTGCAGCTCTCCCAGTCTTTTTTTCAGTACTTGTGAGGGGGCAGAGCCTGGAGCCACAGGGCATGGCCAGGTTGTTCTGTACCACCCACATCATCACCAGGGGCAGGGGAAGGGACCCTCCCTTGGTGGCAGATGGGCAAGAGCTGGTCAGAATTTGTTTGTTGTCCTGGTTTCCTGTGTAAATCGTTTCTTTGTCTTATATTTTCTGCTATTAATATTGTTGCTTTTACTGGTTTTCTCATCTCGTTTCCAGGAAGTTGTTCTTATCTCAACCCATGATTTTCACCTTTTGTGCCCTCAGTTCTCAACCCTATCCCCAGAGCAGAGAGGGAAGAGGATGGAAAGGGAGGGAAGCGAGTGGCATCTGGTTTGGGAGAGTCTCAGTGGGGGCACTGAACTGGGGAATACCATTCCTAAACCACGACAACCACGTATCTCATCACACAGACCTGCACGTTTTATCTCCAGTGCTGCACTCAGCAAACAGAGCAACAATCTGGGGAGAATGTTCCCTAGTGGAAATGCTTAATCTACTGATCTCAGACCAAACCTCCACGGATTCTCCAAAAATCTTTTGCAAGATTTACTGGGTGCCAAGAAATATCTTTCATTTAGGGTTGAAAACAATTCAACTAGACAGGGCTGAATTAATTCCTAATCTAAACACTCCCTGACCCAGATGGGCTGGGAATTCTTAAATATGGGAATGGTGAGTGCAGAAGACATAGCCAGAGTAGTTTTAAAAGGGGAGGCATCACTGCCTTCCAGAATGCTGAATGTGTGCAATGGGCACATCTCCACTGATTAAATCCTGTTTATACCTGGTCCTTCCCCCGCAGGGAGTGTCCAATTGAGTGCAGGATGTGCCTGAGTTGCCAGAGTGGAACCCCAAAGGGCTGGGCTCTGCTTTCCTTTCGCAAGGCTCCCTCCATGACAGCCAGAGCACTTGCAGCAGTGTCTGCACACAGATCAGCATTTCATGAGCAAGTTCAGTATCAGCATTCTCTGCCTTGACCGCTTGGCTTTGTAACCACACTGTGCTAACAGCCCTTCACCTGCCCCAGGTCCCTGCCTGGGCCACCTGCACTTCAGGGGACTCTCACAGCTTCTCCAACCTGCAGGAACCCTACATGAGGCTGAAAGATCCCAAGAATCTCATGGCACAAAAGCTTCGTCTCAAGAATTCCCGTCAGACCGTTCATTTCTTCTTAGCCTTTCCAAAGTCTGCGTGATCCTATTCTAATATTTGGGAGTCAGCAGGAAGCACACCTGGATCCCACGGAGGACTCACCTCCCTTCTGCCACCAAAGGGCAGCAGGAGCTCCCAGGAGCCCCCAGCACTCCCCACCACTGAGCAGCGCTGCATCAAGGTGGATTCAAATCACTGCCATTCTGATATGAAGGCCTCTGACCTGAGGTCTCCCATCCACCCAGAAGTGTTCCACTAACTGGGAAAGCTGCCACCACCCCCCAGCTCTGTCCCCGTGCTACCCACTACTCCCCAGTATCAGCAACCCACAGGTACCATTTTTTGAAGGTCATTTACTCAGCGCCAGCCAAGCTGATTTCCACAACCTGCTTTGCACAGCGGTGCCTTCCAAACAAAGCTTGTGCAGCACATGTTATATTTAAGTAACACAGACTATAACTGGGGCATTACAGGTCAAAACACGTTCCCCAACAGACAACAATCCAAGTGAAAGTGTGAAATTAGTGACACGATCCCACCATGTTGCTGTGCCTGTGCAGAACCCCAGTGAAGCTCTCCTGCCTTTTGAGGTACATCTCCTTGATGAACCTGTTGAGTCACTGGGCTGAGGACCAAGAGACAGGAAGGGCAGGAGGGAAGCAGCAGTTTTCATGTCAAATGTGCATCTGACACATTTAACGAGGGCACAGCACAGGATTCGCCTCGTGCTCCAGCAGGAGCCTCAGCCCCCCAGTTCTGCTCCTCTCCCTCCTCTGAAAAATCCTGACTGCCCACAGCAGAGGTTCCTGATGGAACAGCCCCAGGAGAACCAGCACCTTGATTGTTCTACATTAAGGCAGAGTCCCCAAATCTTAAAAGTGCAGGTGCTCAAACCCTGCAAGGAGAAGGGACTCATTTCTCCCTCTCCCACAGTCAGGAGGCCTTTCTGGGAGCCTTGCCCAAGGCTGTGCTGCCTTAGAGACTCCTGCCAGCAAAACTGCTTCACTAGAGGGGTGAGGGAAAGGTCCCTCCCACGGCCTGGAGGCAGCAACATCCTTAATCTGCAGGTAAAACCCACCTTGAGTTTGGTGGCCCAAACAACTCCATCATCCCAGCACAGTGACAGCTGCGCCTTCCCAGCTGGGTTGGTGCCCAAGTGTTCATGAGCAGAGACACAGCACCAGGGACACCAGAGCACCCCTGGAGAGCTGCTCTGTCACTCAATCTGCAGTTTGCAACAGAGAATGAACTGGGCCATGATAAACTGCTGTAGCCTCCTTGCACTTTCAATCAGCTTTGTGCCCTGCTTTTAAAAGGCAGAGACCAAAACTGGTCACAATATACCAGGCTGCTCTTCCCAGGTGCTTTTACAGAAGAGAAACTCCTTGCTGACTTCTTTGTTTAACACATACACAAGTGGCTACTCTGACATGCTTCAGCACTGACACACACAGTCACTGCACACTGCCTGTCCAATGATTCAGATCCTTTTCAGGCTGGAACCTCTTCACTCTTGCTGCCTGAAAACACTGTGATCTGGCACATTTTCTTTATTTGCTGCTTTACCTGTACTGTGTTTGGTTTCCAGGTACTCAGTTAATGGAACTGCACACGGGTTAGCTGGAATGCCTTACACTCACTTCACTCTCACAGCTGTCAGGTGGGATGAGATTCTGGGAGAATGTCAATGTTAGGCCTTGGGGCAGGGAATGTTCCCTCTGCAAATCAGCAGAAGATTCAGCCTTAAACCCTGGAGCTGCTCTGGCTGTAGGTCAGACAATTTTAGCTGCCACGACGACTCAGTGCAGCAGTCGTGTCCTCCCCTCGCCCCTTCCCAGTGCCCACATTTACAGGTGTCACAGAGCCAGCAGCCTGAGAGACATCTCAGCACCTTGGAGCAACAGCAGCCACGAGGGAAGTGACAGAGCAGACAGCGGCAGATGGGGTTATTTGGCAAAACTGTCACGGTGAGATGTCCCTGCAGGTCACAGGGGACCCTCCCACCACCACCATCCCTCCTGCGTGGGAGAGGAGCTGGCTGTGCCAGGGCTGCGCTTCCTGGTGCTGCTCAGCCTGTGGCCCTGGCACGTGAGGTGACCAGTCAGGCCGTGGGTCAGTCACACCACGGGGCAGGTGGGCTGTGCTCAGTCAGACACTGGGGTGCCCAGCCGGGGTGTAGGTCAGTCAATCAGACACCGGGGTGTAGATCAATCAGACACCGGGGTGTCCAGCCGGGCTGTAGGTCAGTCAGTCAGACACTGCGGTGCCCAGCCCGGGCTGTGGCTCTCAGGGCTCTCGGGGCTCCTGGCGGCCGAGCCCAGCTGCCAGCCCGGCGCCCGGGGCCGTGGTCACTCGTGGGCCACGCGCTCCAGCGCCACGTAGAAGCTGTCCTTGTCGTCCAGGCAGTGCCAGCCGATGGGCCCCGCCTCGCAGTCGGCGCACACCAGGAACTTCACGTTGCCCACGTCGCGGGTGAAGCCCACGTTCTCGAAGGAGAACATGTCGCGCACCAGCCAATGCTCCCGCAGCACGTCCCCGCCGCCTCCCGCCGCCGCCGCCGCCGCCTTCTTCCTCATGGCGGGCAGGAGGAGCTGCGGAGACACCACGGGGCCGTCACCGCCCGCCCGGCACCGCCCGCCCCGCCCGCTCCCCTCAGGATCCCCCCCCCGGTACCTCACGGCGGGCGAAGGTGGCGGCGCCGGGCAGCAGCACCCGGGAGCCGCAGCGCTGGCACACAACGGCCCGCAGGTTGCGGCCCTGCGCGCACACGAGCCCGGCCGAGCCCGGCGAGGCGGCGGGAGCGGCGGCGGGAGCGGCACCGGGAGCGGCAGGAGGGGAGGGAGGAGGCGCCGCCGGCTCCATCTCCGCGCAGGGCGCCGCCATGGCCGAGGGGCGGGGCGAATGGATGACGTCATACATCAGACACCGCTGACGTCACTGCTATGGCTCCGCCCACCGGACTGTGCACGTCTCGTGACGTCACGCCCCAGGCCACGCTGACGTCACGGCCCTGCCCCCCCCCCCTCGGGCGGTGCCGGGGGGTCCCACCCGGCTCCTCCAGCCCTGGGAGCGTCCAGGGTGCTGGGAGTGAGCTGGTCCGGTGGAGTCGTCCCTGCCCATGGAAGGGATGAGCTTTAAGGTCCTTTCCCACCCAAACCAGTCTGGGATTCTCTGATTTCCCCCCCCTCCCCACGACGTGATTCCAGGATGTGCCACCAGCTGGCAGAGAGTCTGTCTGTGTGTGCAGGGATCATCAGGGGCTGTCATTTACCAGACATGGGAGTCTGGAGACACTTGACTTCATCACCGAGGTTGAAGAAGGAGTTCAGTTGATGCTGGGCAAAAGGAAATTGTCTCCCTTTAAAGTCTACCTCTCTGGAGATATTCCAGAGCTGTCTGGACACAATCCTGTGCCGTATCCTCTGGGATGACCCTGCCTGGGGGAGGCAGGGCCAGATGACCGACTGTGGTCCCTTCCAACCTCACCCATTCTGGGATTCTGAGAAGCTGCTGCACGTATTTTGAGTGCAGTGGTTGCATCAGTGTTCGGGAGAGCCTGGGTACACTCTGTTGCTGCTGCAAACAGCAGCTCACGTGGCTGCTTGGTACAGAGAGACCCCTTTCCAAACTGGGGACCTGCTGCTAATGGCCCACTGTTGTTAGCATGGTTGAAAAGACTGAAAGAGACCTTTTGATTGAGCCACTGCTTCTTTAGGGAGTAAACCAGATCCCAGAAGAGCTCTGATTCTTGTTTTTTCTGCCCATTTAGTGTAAACATGCACCATCCTCCTGCTGCCTCGCTGTCTCCTCCCTGTCTGCTGCCAAGAACTCTCAGGAGAAGCCAGAAATGGGAACTGATGTTCAAGTACTACATAAAGGTACAGGATTTCATCAGCAATCCAGCTGCTCACCTCAGGCTCCCCCCATTCCCCTGTGACTTGTGCCAGCACAAACCCTCCACACGGTGGTTAGATGAAGGTCTGGAAGGTAGAGAACAGAAGCTGAACTCCCACTGGCTCAGGAAATATTTTATTCTTTATACTTTCATTAGAAAATAAACATAGGAAACAAAACCACAGAACACTTGTGTGATAGAAACAAACGCAGAAGGTTCAGAGCGTTGGCTGAAAGTGCATAATTAAGTCATGCTACCACGTCCCTGATCCCACCCTGTCCCCAAGCAAGGAGTCAGCAGGAAGCTCAACGAGCAGCACTACACAGAGCCCAGGCACTGTGGGGCCAAGCTGATGGCAGAGGGGAGCCCGTGCTCCCGGGAACGCAGCGAGGCAGGACACATGCTGGGAGCCAGTGAGGGCTCGTGGGCAGGCGAGGGATAGCAAGTGTCAGAGGATGTGGGCAGGGAAGTGAACAGCTGAGAGAGAACAAAGGGCGAAACAGAATCCTGGATGTTACTCCAGAACGGCCTTGGAAGCAGAAAAATCCCGGATGAAAGGAAAACCAACACAATGAACTTGAGTGAAAGGCTGCCGTGGGTGTGCTGGACTCGGGTGTGTCCGGGGATGAACCCCAGTCACTCTCCAGCAAGACCCTGGTGGGCAGCAGCCACCGTGTCCCTGCTCTCCTGGCCTCAGCTGGGGTGACGTCCCTGCAGGGTGGGAGCAAAGGCACGGCCGCAGCACAGCAGCGCTCCCGGTGCCACGGATGGCAGCGCTTTGCAGCTGGGGCTCTCAAGCTTTTTGAGGGAAGTGCCACGTGAAGAACCTTGCTGAGCACCTGCTCAAGAGCACAAACACTGCAGCCCTGCTTCTGCAGCAGGCAGTGAGCTCCCCCCCTGCCCTCTGCCCCTGCGGCCTCAGGCCTCTGGGTCTCAGTAGTTGACAGCTTTAACCTGCGACTCCTTTAGTGTGCAGCCCTGGGAGGAACCTGCAGACACAGCGACACCGCAGGCCCCCCTCACACACGCTCACCCAAACTGGCTCTGCACCCACGTGTGCTCGAGGAGCACGTTTGAACATTCAGTATGTACATGATGATTTGAAGCTGGAACACAAGAGCAGCCGGATTCACCCTCCCACATCCACGTGGCCGAGAGCAACCCGAGGACCCGCGGGGTCCTGTGGCGGCTGGAGAGGTGACCCAGTGGTTATGTACATGTCCTTGGGAGGGTTCACCAGGCTGGCTGAGGCCAGGCTGGGGCATCTCTGCTCTGCCCATAGACTGAGCCACAGGAACAGCAGAGAGTGCAGCTTCTCACGACCCACTCACCCCCTTCGTCCAGCTTCCCACAGAGCCCCCGATTTCAAATGACTGCTGAGATCACACGGTTATGCACATGCTCTAGTCACAAGCAGCACAGAAAGCTGCTCTTCTGGTGCCTATTCCCACAGCATCCACAACTCTCAGGAACAGTCACTGCAAATCACTTGGGACTCTTTCTCCAGCCGAGACTTTTTAGAATGTTCTTCTTTGCGAGCTCCCTCCCGATCACTTCTCCCGCAGGACGCAGACTCCGGCGTCGCAGCGCTGCATCCCCAGGGAGGTGACCACTTCCCAGCTGTCAATGATGGGATCGTAGCACTCGATGCTGCTCAGCAGTGAGTTGCCATCGTATCTGCCGGGACAGAAAGTTACAGGTGAAGGAGGGAGAGGCTGAGGCATTCAGAGAGACTGGGCAGGCTCGCCCAGCAGGAACGGCCCGGAATGGAACGCCTGCACGAGGCCGCCTTTGCCTGGGCCCTGGGTGGGCAGGGTGACCCTGCGGGCCACACCTCAGTGTGAGGAGCGGCCAGCTGCGATGGGGCAGCCGCTGTGTCCCCTCAGCACCCCTGTCCCAGCGCCCAGAGCTGCAGGCCGGGCCCGGGCGGCGCTTACCCGGCGATGGCGTACAGCCGGCCCCGCAGCACCGTGGCCCCCACGTAGCACCGGGGCGTGGTCATGCTCGTCACCGTCGTCCAGGAGTCGGTGCGGATGTTGTAGGCCTCCACCGAGGAGAGATGCGCCGTCCCGTCGAACCCCCCCACGACGTAAATGTGGTCGTTGAGCAGAGCCACTCCAGCCCCTGGGGAGAGAGGTGGTGGCAACAGTCACGCCCAGGAGCCACACCGGCGGCACCGTGGCCCGTTATGGGGCTGAGTGGTCAGCTGGTCAGCTCCTCCCTCTTCTCAGGACATTTTGTTACGCTCATCTCTCCCCTAAAAGAGCTGATAACTGTGTCTTCTGTTGTTGTTGTCTCCAGTATGATTGGTGAAAGCGTGTCACTGCACCAAACACTGCTGACTCTCTGCCATGGGGGCACTGGGCAGCATGGCAGCACGAGAAGCTCCCCTGGGGTGACACCTGACACAGGTGTGTGAACAGAGCAGCACCAGGCTCGCTCTGCTGGCAGGCAGCCAGCTGGGACTATCAGCACAGACACGGGTTCCTCTGGTGCTCCTGGCTCCCTGGTATCACCCAGCTCCTGGCCACAGCCGGCAGATTGCGACACAGCCAAGATTACTTTTTGGAATTCAAAGACCTGCACACTAGGAAGTTTTTCTGGGGGGGCAAAAGAAGTCTTACAGGGTCCAAGGTCACCAGGATGGACTGACCTGATACTAGGATGAAGACTGCAAGTACAAGTAGTACCTAAGCTACTCGTAGTTAGCAGTGTTAGTTCCAGAGTGGCAGCACAAAAACCTGGGCCCTAAAAGGTCCATGGGCACACCCCCATTTCAGAGATCTTGGTGCTCCAGGTGACAGCACCAAGGAAGGAAGCAGCTGAGCCAGTGCTGGGGTCAAAGGTCTCCCCATGCTCCTGCTCAGTTGTGGAGCTCATGCTGCAGGCCAAGGCACTGCTGCCAAAGCTCCAAATCCTGTGGGAAGCGAGCATGGACCTGGGACATGCCCATTGTGGAAGGCTTTTTCCCTTGAACTCTGCTTTTGGTCTTGCCCAAAGTCAATCTTCTCTGGTGTCCACAGCAGACCCCTTGGGGAAAGCCACCTCATCCTCAAGCTTCCTAGAGATCTGTGGGTCGGTCTCACACGGTGCCTCCGACGCAGGAAAATCTGCGGATTTTATCCCCTGTTTTATGTGGGGTCTTCCTGGGATGTGGAAAAGCGCCCAACTCCTAAATCAAAACCATTCTTGGCAGATAAACCCACACTTAACAGGAATAGCCCTGTCACAGGAGTAAATATTTAAAGCTCGGGGTTTTGGTGAATGCCACTGCAGGCACAAGGAAGCTGAGATGTTTTTGGAGCAGAGCCCAGTTTTAGCGAGCACCCAGCACTTGTCCCCAAGCAGGAACACTGCACAGAGATCACGTGGAACCAGTGCTGCCCAGGCTGACTGTGAGGGGCACTTACTGAAAGAAGCAGAGAAAAAAGCAACTACAAAAAGGGGTTTGAAAGAGGGGCTGTAAGCACAGAGCTACCACACTGGGAACCACCCAGCTGTGGAGGCACTGAGCATCCTGCCCAGGGCTGTGCAGGGCCAGGGCTGCTCACCAGCACGGCATGGAGGGCAGTGCACGAGGCCTGAGGCACAGGGTGAGGGCAGAGAGCCAGGATCTGAGCACACAGGAGCTGCAGGAACCCCTCTGGAACTCCTCTGAGGAATGAAGGAGAGCTCAGACAGAAAGATACTTCTAAAGTAGGATTTAAACTATATTTTTCTCCTAGATACAACTGCCAACCTAAAGGTTGGACAGAACTCCAAGCAGGGGAGGCAAGTGAAGAGTTGGTGGGGGATAATTACTGTGTGACTGCACCACGTTGCAAGTCAACACCACTGGAGGGTAACACTGCTCTGGCAGTGCTGCTCTCTGTGTTCCTGCTGCAGCAGGAGCTGAGGCCTTGCATGTCCCAGAGCAGAGTGGAGGTGAAGGAGCAGCCTGACAGGGCACTCCTGCCTTCACCCTGTTCTGTGCAGCTGAGGAGCACTG